TTGATGAGTTGGACAATGTTGATAGTGATGACGAGACCTATGATCCAAATAATTTCAATCATAAAGATTATTTCTAATACATGTAATACTATGTTTTTTGTAATTATGTTTTGTTCATTTTGCATATATTTCTAATACATGTAATACTATGTTTTTTTGTAATTATGTTTTGTTTATTTTTGCACCTATTTCTAATTACGTCTTGTTTTTCTTTTTTTTATTGCGGTGTGATTGAGCAAAGATGGCGGGCGATCGTCATAGGTCTGTGAACTCGATTTACCAAAGACCACGCCGGTCGCAGGAGGGGCGGAGGGGGCGGCAGAGGGATCGAACAGGAGGAGGAGGACCGCTAGCCGCAGGAGGGGGCCGTCTCCTCCCACGCCACGTGAGGAGGACCGCCAGCCGCAGGAGGAGGTGGCGCCCGTGGGGCCAGAGTCGACGAGGAGTTGGTTCGGCCAGACGGAGGAGGAGGAGGAGGAGGGGAGGCGGCAGCACGGGTTCCGCTTCCTCCAACTCCTCTTCGAGTGTCTACTTGCGAGGTCCCACGAGCCTCCCACAGTTCCGCTTCCTCACCAACGCCCAAAGATTCGCCCGAAGGACAAAAAGTAAGTAATCGTATATATGTTATCACCACTATTTCATATGATATGATGAAAAAAAACTAATAATTTTTCTTAATTACTTGTGCAGAACTGGGTGGTTGTGCTGTGGTAGCGCCGCACGGCTAGTCAATGGCATCTGGGTCTTCATGCGCAGCACTTCCTTCGGCATTGTCACGTCACGCATCGAAGACGGAGCCGGCCTACTCATTTGACCACTCACGCCGTCGCCTCCGATGCGGAGTACCCCAACAAGGCGGCGCGGGTGAAGGCGAGTTTTGGGTAAGTCTCCCTTGCACAACATTGCTCAATACGTCGCATTCATTAGACTTTTCTTGAAATAATGAATCGATACATCGCTTTTGTATGCGCACTTATTACGATGCGAGGAGGATTTGAGGCCGTATGGAGCGGCGACTACCAAAGCACAGTAAAAACTCGTCACCGACATGCATCACGAGGCGCGCATCCGAGCCATCGTAACCTACTACGGGTCGAAGCTTGGAGAGGAAAACCAAGAAAGACGCAAGAGAGATGCAAATTGACCGGGAGCAAGACCTTGAGGTAAATGAAGAACATCAACATTGATTCGATTTGAGATTAAGTTGGTTTAATTTGATCTTCTTATATGTCCAATACTTGATGACGTGTAGGTGATTCCCCGGTGGTGCCAAGCGTATCCCGAGTCTTTGGCGATGATGGTGGGCAGGTGGTTCACGGAGGAGTACCTCAAGATGCACAGGGATGCCCGGGACCATCGTTTACTGATGCAAGGTCCAGCACACCATCAAGGCAGTCGCAACCTCGCCGGATACAAACAAGCATGGGTACGCGAATTGATTTATCTATTGTTACGCTCAGTTCTGTCTGATTTCTAATCATCGTGTTGTCTTTCTTGCAGTCGGCGTCACATAGTGGCCAGGCTTGCTCGGACTTCCAGGCATGGTGTATGGCCCACAAGGGTAAGGCGACGTCCGACGTCTCCTTCAACCTGGAGGACCCGCCCGAGGCATACACGAACCCGAGCGTCCACTCCCGCATCAGTGAGTACACTGAGGTGGCGAGGTCGCTCCATGGGGCAGACCACGATCCGAGCACCCAGGACTTCGATGGAGAGGCCGTCATGAGGGCGGGGCAAGGCAAGAAGCATGAACGGTTCTGGCTTGGCGACGGCGTCATCGACACGGCCTCTACTCCTCTCTCTCCCAGATCCGAGCACGAGCACGAAGCGAGAGCCGACCATTCGCACCACGGCCGACCGCGCACGCACAAAGACCGGTCGACGCCTTTTCGAGGTTATTCTGTTTTACTCGTCATACATTGATCTTTACACACCTTAATTAGCTTTGCATTACTGAAACATTGGAGTGAAATATTGCAGGCCCGACTGGAACAAGAAATGAAGGAACGTCAGGAGCTGGGGGCCCAGTTGGAGGCCGAGCGGGCCGAGCGGCAGGCCTAGGCGCAGAGGCTGATGGACATTACGGATTTCCTACAAGGGCTTAGGCAACGTATGGGCTTGTCTCTGCCACCTGGGCTGTTGGTTCCACCTCCGCCTCCACGTCCTGCAGCTGCAGCTACTCCTGTGAGTATCAAAGTTTTTTACTTTCACTTGTGCTTTGCTTGTATGGCCTCTATCGTCCTAGATTAGCTATCAAAATAATCTTGTCTCACATGCAATCTTTTCTCCTTTGTGCAGTCTTCATTTGACGGTGGTTCGAATAATCCACCTCATGCACCTCCGAATGATGCATCTGGGCCTTCACCACAGTCGCAGTGGCCGAGATGAGTGCATGTTGTATTTTTTACATTTGTTGTTCACTTGGTGATGGACTTGTGATACACTTGTGGACTTTGATGGACTTGTAAACTTATTTGGATGGACTTGAGCACTTATTATTATATATTGTGATGGATGTGATATGGGCGGATGGATGTGTGGATGGATGAGATATATATGTGATGGATGAGATATATATGCGATGGATGAGATATATATGTGATGGATGAGATATATATGTGATGGATGAGATATATATGTGATATATGTTTGTATGAATGTATTTGTCATGATGGAATGCAAAAAAATATTTTGCCGTTTTGGGTCACTTTGTTTAGTGTTGCACTCGGCAAAGGACCCTTTGTTGAAGCGCAATGGTCACTGGCTTCGGCAAAGTCGGCAAAATGGGCGACCAAAATCAGATTTTCCAGCTTTGCCGAAAGTCTTTGTGACTCTAACACTTTCGGTAAAGAAATTAAAAAAAACTTTGCCGAGTGCACGAGGTGGTGGCACTTTCGGCAAAGAAAATTTCAAAAAAAAATAAAAGCTCTTTGCCGAGTGCCTTCCGGGTTGACGCTCGGCAAAGAATTTTTCAAAAAAAAATAAAAAATATTTGCCGAGTGTCGGGAGGTTTGGCACTCGGCAAAGAAAATTTCCAAAAAAATAAAAGCTCTTTGCCGAGTGCCTTCCGGGTTGACGCTCGGCAAAGAATTTTTTTAAAAAAAATAAAAAATATTTTTCGAGTGCCTGGAGGTTTGACACTCGGCAAAGAAAATTTTCAAAAAAAATATATAAAAGCTCTTTGCCGAGTGCCTTCCGAGTTGACGCTCGGCAAAGAATTTTTCAAAAAAAAATAAAAAATATTTGCCGAGTGCCTGGAGGTTTGGCACTCGGCAAAGAAAATTTTCAAAAAAAAAATAAAAGCTCTTTGCCGAGTGCCTCACGGGTTGGCACTCGGCAAAGAAAGTTTTAAAAAAAATTAAAAAAAAATCTTTGCCGAGTGCCGGCAGGGTTGACACTCGGCAAAGTGACCATCAACGGGACCGGCGCCGTGACGGTCGCTTTTCTTTGCCGAGTGTTTCCGGGGCACTCGGCAAAGCCTTTGCCGAGTGTCCGATAAAATACACTCGGCAAAGAGTGCTTTGCCGATCAATTTTTTGTCGTGTGTGCTTTGCCGAGTGCCGCACTCGGCAAAGGCTTTGCCGAGTGCAATATAGCCTTTGCCGAGTGCCTCAGGCACTCGGCAAAGAACCTGAATCCAGTAGTGTATATACAAACATGATGATGTTCCATTTCGAATCGAACACGGACGTGGGGAACGTGAGCTTATGAAACCTGGGCACCGCACCACCATCCTCTGGATCCCCGGCAGCCGGGTAGACGGGCGTGTTGAATGGGGCCGGGAGCGGCGATGGTGACGGCGGGAAGGAGATCTGCGTGATGGGTACAGGGCGGCTTGCCATAGTTGGGTGAACAATGGCCGACCCGGATGACGGCGTAGAAGGCAAGCCCCCCGTCGCCTGGCATCCCGAACGGCAGCGACTGCGGGTGCATCGACGAGCCCGGACGCCCATCGCCACCGGCCATCCTCGTGGCCAGTTGACCCATCTGCCTCTGCAGCCCGTAGATGGAGGTGGTCAGGGTGTCCAGAGCGCCCGCAGAGACGACCGCCTGGGAGGGACCAACGGACAATGGAGCAGTGGATTGCGTTATGGCGGCGGCGTTGGTGGTGGCTGGTGGGGCGGTGGTTTGAGGCATGGCGGCGGAGGTGACAGGGATGGGTGCGGAAGCTCCCGACATCGGCCCAGAGCTAGCTGATACCAGATTGTTGTGACCTGATCTACTACGTAACGCGTAGGAGTGGGAGGTGTTCGGGCGAGGCTTGAAGGCCCGACGGCGAGCTGGTGGCGCCGTGCTCGGTGCCGGGGTTTAGAGTTCAGAGATGGAAGGTGAGGGTGCTAGGACGCCAGGAGGCTAGAGAGATAACTCTAATCTCTGGCTGATTTCATTTGCTCACAATCGTTCAATACATAAGGACTCCAATTCCAAAAGCTAACAAACAGCATGCTAAAGTTTAGGATCTCAAACTCCTAATGACTCAACTGACTGACTGAACCACCCGGTGACCGCGCAACCGCACGTGTGTCGCAGCTTTCGTCGTTTCGCCGGCTCCCTGGCTCACGCTTTAGCCACGTGCATGCTTCCTCCTCTGATACTTGTTGCCCACCATAACAGTATCGGTCTCGGAGCAGAGAAAATAAAAAGGAGAAAACAAAACAGTTTTTTTCTTCGGTCCCTTCAACAAAATAAAGCTCCACCAGATGTTTTTTTTTGTTTTTGAAAATATCCAGCAGATGGTTCAGAGTTCCGCATCCGGACGCAACGCTAGCCTGACCTACCAAAATCTCCACCAGTTTAGTGATCTGGCGAACGGATAGTAGTAGTACCTACATACTCTCGGTATCCTGTCATCATCCTCCTCTTCGTAGCATGCTAGAAGACATCACTACTAATATAAGAAGAATGCACTGCACCGCGTGGTAATTCAGAACGAAACTCTGTGTCTGTACTCATAGTCTCGGTGTGAGCAAAAAGGGCGTGGCATACGGCGCGGCCTGGGGTCATGGGCACGAGTTGGAGCGCTTGAGGAAGGGAGCCTGGGAGTGGCTGTCGTCCTCCAGCGCCACGATCCGCAGGTGGGAGGGGTCGTCCAGGAGCATCTTGGCCACCAGGTAGCCGGCCACCGACCATGTCTGGAACTTGCGCGCCTGCTTCCCCACGTACCGCCCCACCTTGCCGTCGTAGTACTCGGGGAAGTCATCCTTCGCCAGCCGCTGCTCCATCAGCTCCACGGCTCTCCGCGCCAGGTGCGGGCGCCCCAGCTTCACGCTCACCGCCACCAGCAGCCACAGCAGCACTGCACGAGCAACACATATTTGCACCAGGGGTCAAACAGATTAGATAAACAATGCCACTGGCCACATAACTAAAATGGATGCTGATGCAGAGCGAACGATGCACAGATATAACAATTCAATTTGTCAAGTAGAATGACCATTGATAAATATATTCGCTTCTGATTTACAACACAGCCTTCAGTCACATTTGCATTTGCGCCCAAAGATGAAATTTCAATAAAGAAACTAAGGTCATTTTGTTAAAATGGAGTTCAGAACTTCAGATCCACAAATAGCTAATCTCATCTATTTATTTGATTTAAAAACGAAATACCAATTTCCTATACCACATAATGCGCAACACATCTCAAGGCCATCAGCAGCCAGAGCAAAAGGGCTCATGCCATTAAAAGGGATGCTAATGCAGGGTGAAGATTGTATGGATATCAATTCACCAAACAAAAAGACTGTTTGCAAACCCAGATTGCTTTGTTCCAACTGAGGACAGCTTTCAGTATTCATATATATTATCTTCTCTAACATAAGTTGCATGGTCAGTAGATTATGCAAGTGCAGCATCGCTAAACCCAAATACCGACAAACGATGTTCATAGTGTTATCAATTTTTCAAACCCAAAAGATGAGGTTCAGATCAGCAAATAACCAATCTCATTTGTTTACTCAATTTGAAAATGTAACTGCTCACTTCCTAAACCATAAAATGCAAAAGAAAAAGAACACATAATTGGCAAGAATGTTTAACAACATAATGCAGTGCTAAATATCAAGTTCCTCAAGCGCTCTCACCTGGCCACGAGCCTCCGTTGTGGTAGCTCCACCTGGTGTTCTTCGGGTCGCATCCAGTGACTATCTGCCACTCCTGATTTTCCATTGCAGGGTAACAGATCTTGAGTGGCATCTCACCAATGAGTTCTTGCCAGCGCTCCTCCACAAGATCCAGTATTGCTTCAGCCTGCTCTCCGGTCGCCAATGATGACAGGATTGCAATGAAGTTGCCCAAGCAAAACCAGCGGAAATCCATCCTTGCAGGACTAACATTGCCAATGAAGTATCCACCCCGGCTAGGCATGAAGTCAAATATCCAATCAGGTATTGATTCGGGTATCACATTGAATTTGTTCAAAGCTGTCTGTGAGTACTCTTCAGTCTTGTAGCGGTATATGTCATTCAGTCTTTGGAAGTCTAACCAGTAGTAACTGTGCAAATGGTAGCTCAAAGCTTGGATTCGTTTTGTGATGTGGTTCACAAAGTCAGCATCAGAGTCTTGTTTCAACAAGCTTAGGGCACATCTCATAGCCATGAAAAAGAGAGCCTGGATTTCAATTGGGTAGCCATATATGCCCTGCACAGATTTCAGTCCATAAACAAGGTGCAAGATAAACATGCACAAACGTTCAAGACAAGCATTTACATAACTTGCTGTTCCTAAATTTTCTAGGTTTTCCACGAGATGAATATGTAGTCTACAGGAAGCACAACCACTGGGAGTTCACAATACCTTCAATAAGAACAAAGAACACGATCAAACTAAAAAAACTAACACTTGCATAGAGAAGCTTAAGAAGTTTGACAACATGTTCGCTAACAGCAAAGCAAACTATGCTATTATTCACAAATCACAACTACATACTTCCTTGTATGTTTCCAAAACCCATACACTACCTCGTACCGTTATTAATGTCCACAATCCTCTTATGTTCCAAGTATTTGGTCCTGATTTTAATAGCTATAACAGGATCCTATAAATGGTTCCTCCTATAGAACCCAGAGGGAAAAATATCCAAAGTATCGATATATTTTCATATGAGCTTGAGGACTTTTAGTTATGAATGAGACGGGACTCGCAAGGATGCAATTGAACGATAAGATTGTAGTAAGACGTAAGAGGTACACGAGATACAATGTCAAAAATAATAAGAGAACAGAGGTAGCTAAATTGAGGTGGGCAGCCTACCATTCTTCGGTCTATCATGGAGCACCCATCAGCACAAAGCAAGGCTGGAGAAGTATCACATCCCTCTGAGAGACACAACCTGAGAATAAGGTGCATGGCCCTTTGGCAGTTAGGACTTTCAGCCAGAGAATTGTCCCCTGTCCATTTGGTGTAAGCACGAAGGAGAATAATCCACCATAGGCCAGAATCTACAGGAGCAACCCTCCCAATGGCAGTTTCACCAAAATCAGCCAGTAAGCTTTCTGTCTTCTGGGTAGGGTTGCGATGATGCACCTTAAAGCTTGCAGGCATCACACCCTGACCAAGCTTGAAAAGGTCAACCATCTTCTCCCTTGATTGAAGGCGTGCAATTTCTACCAGAAAATTCTTCACTATCAAGTGTTCTCCCTTCATAAGAAAAGCCAATGCGCTAGGAATGAAATCCCTCATGAAAACCTGTCCCAATGTACGAAAAACAACATAAATCATTGCTGATCATTTTGCATGCCTAGGCACAATGAGATGTATAATTCATGCATGAGATAGCTATGATGTATTTTTGCAGAAGCTGATAATGTACACATGAATACTCACCATCAGGATTAGGACTACCATTTACGATAATGATAGATGCAAAACAAACAGTAATAGAAGGGTGTATAGAATAATACGAAAATAGCATGAAATCTTTAAAATTGACAGCACTGCCAACTCTTTAACTGGAAACAGAAAAGGTCAGTACTTCACCTGGTCGTAGTTGAGTGCTGCCCCCTGAGACTTGTCTATTGCGGCAACAGTCCCAATTGGCTGGCCTCTGAAGTAAACTATTGACCTTTTGAGGGCTTCCCAAGCAGCATCTGCAATCGCATGCCTGTGTGATGCATTAGCATCTGTAGGTGCTTCTTCATGGAGCGAACACTGTGATCCTCCTCCTAGGCTTTTCTCAATGGTCTGGAGCAGACGACGAGGTTGCAGACCATTAAGTTCTATGTCAGATAAGGTCACAACACAAGATCTGTGCCTCTCAATGTGGTGCATCCTTGTCCTTTTCTCAGGTTTTGGCGGCGAATCATGGTTCTCATCATCTGTCAGTTCTGTGATCTTACTCTCTGGGAGCTTTAACTGGGGAGGAGGTTGAGTACATTGTACCATCTTTGCTAGTTTTTGAATGATAGCTCTGGTCAATAGAATGACAAATAAAAAGAATAAGCATATGCATAACTTGTTTCAAATTTTCAAAATCAGGGCATTATACAAAACTGCATTAAGTTCTCATGTCCCGAAGCATATAAAAGAACTGTCTGTTAGTTGCATAATTGCATCACTAGCTCTTGACACTCGAAATGAATACAGGTACATTGTGAACATTTTCCTTATCATGAATATTTATATTGAAAAAAAAAAAAGTGCAACAGGCGCAGAAGGTTTAGGCAAAGAAAATAGGGACAAGTAATTTTTTTTTGTCTATTTTAACTAAGCCACCACTGGCTTTCCTTTTTACTGAACTACAAGTAAATTAAACTACAATGGGGCAGCACCTGGCCACCTATGCCTGAAAGAAAGGAAGTTCATGCAAAAAGAACTATGTATTGCAAACAACCTGTCTATATTCTAGCAGTATGATATGTAAAATACTTCTCTCACATCAAACATTTAAGTCAATGCAATTTATTGTTTCCTTAAGGTTGCTGAAGCTGATACAACATGCTACTGCAGCACTCTTAATTCTTGATCATACTCTCAGATTTCAATGGCAAGTGGAGACTACTAACTACAGATTATTCCTATTCCATAAATAATGACCAATTACTGAAGACAGTATACAACTTCTGGGCCCAAAACTATTACACCAATCTAGTGAATCTAGCACTTTAGAAAGCAAGCCACAGATAACAAGGCATTTCAGCTTCCTGTATAATAAAATACCCCCGTGCACATGCATTTAGCTACAAATTTCTAATGTAAGGGGCCACTTCCCAGTTCCCACGCATCGCCACCCAATTGAAACCCCACGAAATTTCCAAACCTGATAAGATCGGATGCACCAAAAGTTCACAAGTGAAAAAACATAAATGCTGTGAGGTCAGGCTGTAGTGTAGGTGACGCACAGTCGCACACCCAAGATTATGTTAAAAAGGATGTACAAGTACAAGCAAAAAGAATGAGAATGGTAAACTTATATTCATATTCGGGTTTTGAAGGCAGAATCACAACCATGATTAGGTTTTAGGCATCGCAGCCACAGCGCCCGACTCAATACTTCTAGATTCTAGGAACCGTGATGTTTAGCGGAATAGGAAGCAACGATATATAACCAATCACATGCAATGGCGCACACACACCATGTTAACACTTAACAGTCAACACTAAGTTTTAATAAATCCGCTGCACATTAATCCCATTTATTTATACTTGGAATTTGCTTTTAAGTAAATAAATAACCTTATGCTGCATAATCTGTACGAGATCAAAGTACCGCTAATCCAAAAAAAGGAAGTTGCAGTTAGCTTGAAAACATGGGGGGACAAGCAGGCATATTCTTAAAGGTTATATTGACGTATCAAAACTCAGTGACATAAGACTAGTAAGGAAATCCGAGAGCACTGAAACATACTTCCTCTGACCCACTAATAATATGTACAACTCCAAATCTGGAAAGTACAGAAATCACAGAAAGTACTATGATGCAGATACTAGACCATAAGAATGAACGATCCTCCATCAGAGACACCAGAATTCAGACCACGAGCATAACCAAAGCACATAAGCAAAGGTCTGGCTGCAAAATCCATGAACTAGCAGATAGCAAGCTGTTCAGTGAATGGGATGCAAAGGTGGTAGCCACCTAATTGTCCCCAATTGGCACATAAACTAGATTCGACAGTACACATAGAAGCACACACATGACACATGCATCAATCATCAGAAAAACAGGATCCTACAAAAACTAAGTCACCAGTCTTAGTCGATCTATATCTATAGGACTCGTGAAAAGCAACGATCAAAAGGGCATTTCCGCTTGCACTGGAACCAAACACCACACCGCTCATGGTTTGGGTTACAAATTAACTCCTGACGCACGGAAGCACCATCCACGCGTGGCCACCACCCAATGGAAAACCCCACCAAAACCCCAATGAGATCGGACGAAGCCCAAATTTCAGAGGCGCAAACCCCTCCGCGCGGCCCCGATCACCGGATAGAAGAGCGAGGGAACCCGCATTCCCCAGCGATCCGCTTCCCTCCCACGGGGGCCCGGCGGGACGGTTTGGAGTTTGGGGGTTTCCTCGTTAGCGCGCTGGGAAATTAAAGCATCGCAGAGACCATTTCGCGGACGCAGGACGAGAGAGAGAGGAGAGGGGGGAGGGGCGGGGGCTTACCTCCGGCGAGCGGCGGCGGCGGGCGGTGGAGGCGGGGCGCGCGAGGTGGGTTTTGCGGCTTGCGCTGCCCCCCGTGAGCCCGTCGCCTTTGCCCTCTGCTTCAAGTGAACTCCAAGTCGCGGGGGCGACGATGGACAGGACAACTGGACAGGTGTGGAGGCGTCTCAAGTAGTACTCAAGTTTTTTTTATTTTTATTTTTTATTTTTAGAATCAGTAGTAGCGTACTCAAGTGGCTCTTCAGTCCTGAGTCGCCAGGTGCCAGCCTACTGAAGAGGCCCAGATCGGCTCAGCAACACGGCCTTCTAAAAAAAAAAGGTTACTCACCAAAGTGTACATGTGAATTACTACTCCTTCCGTAAATTTTCTTTTTTTGCATTGCAATTCTAGAGTTAGGGCTGATCAAACTTTCTTGGGTTTAACTAAGTTATAGAAAATAGTATTAAATTATTTTGAAACTAATCTAATGATTCTTCATGAATGTTTGTACTTTTTTCGTTTAGATTTTGTCAAACTTAAAATCCTTTCCTTGGCTCCTTCGAAGTGAAAATTGTATATTTTTTTAACGGAGAGAGTAAACTTTTTAGAACAGTTTGATTTAGAACATAACTGAAATGATTTAAAATTTGAAACAATGAAGGTACTCGTAGCTCACGTGCTTTCGAACAAAGTAATTTAAAAGTTATTAGCGTTCAAATAAATCTTGTTCTAGGCGACAAGTATTTTTGACCGGACGAAGTAATATCTTTGTTCTCTCTCAGCACCCACCACACTGTACTCAACTTTAACGTCGACGAAGCTGATTGGAGAAACTTCTAGTCATTACAGATATATTTTTTAGATAATGGATAGAAATGTAGGAGATCAGAGAGCTTGGACAAACAACAACAGTCCCACAAATATTGTACCTTGGATTGTTTTAACATCAGTACCATATTGGTGGAAATCGCAAGTAAGGCGGCAGGCGGCCTCATAATCAAGGGATCAGATCGATGTTTTTTTTTTTTGACGGAATCAGATCGATGTAGCCTACCTTAACTTACTTGGGACTGAAAGGCTATGTTGTTGTTGTTGTTAATCAGATCGATGTTGTTGCTCATGGGAGCTATGGAGAGAAAGAAATGCACGTATTTTTAGCACAAAACACTTCACGCCTCATTAGTTGATTGAAAAGATCAAAGAGGGAGCTAAACTTTGGTGTGCAGCAGGGACCAAGGGCCTGTTTATTTAAGCTTTTTTTTGTGACTTCTGCTGGTGAGAAGCTACCAGCTTAAACAAATGTCAACGTATCAGGTGCAAATCAATTAACTTGTGCAAATTTGAAAACTATCAATCAGAACCACTAGATGCTGATCCAATGGATAGGGGTGAGAGGTGGGATTTTTTTGCGCTTAAGCCCCTCACCCGCCGGCCTTTTTTTTGCGCTTAAGCCCCCTCACCCCATCCATTGGATCAGCATCTAGTGATCCTGATTGGTAGTTTCAAGTTTACATAGATTGGTTGGTTTACACCTGAAAAATGAACTATAGCTTAAAAGCATGTCGAGAAGCTAAAAATACATTACAAAAGCAAATAGCAAAAAGCCAACATCTAGAAGGCGAAAGCGGCCTTTAGGGCGTTTTCAGTGTTTGTTCTTTGTCTCAAGTTTACCAAATTGTTTTTTTTTACTCTCTCCGTTCCAAATTATGGCCCCGTTCGGCTTACCTTAAAAGCCGGCTTATTCGACTTCTTTTTTTAGCCGGAACAATATTTTTCTCTCACAACATTTTAGCTTTGGCTAGTTTTTTCAATCAATTTCAGCCAAACGAACGAGGGTCATATAAGTTATTTTAGCTTTTTTAGATACATTGCTTTTACAATGCATATAGACATAATGTATATATAGTGTATAGCAAAAACTTTAAATCAAAAAAGCCAAAACATCCTATAATTTAAAATAGAGGAAGTATATATGCCTCTTTGAGAGACATCATTTTTTTTATCATGCCAGCGATTTTGAAAAAAATAATATAGGAGTGGCTCCATATCTTCAACTATAAATTGACTAAACTGATTGAGAAAAACTTTAATAGCTAGAGATAAAGAATCAACTATAAATTGACTAAACCGATTGAGAAAAACTTTAGTAGTAGAGATAAAGAATAAAGAAATAAGGAGGAATAGAATCTACCGTCACCGCATTTATGCAACAGTGATATATCAAAGATTAGTTACATTTCGGTATCATGTGATTTGACAAAGTTGAATTTAACAATAACTTAAACTCTTTTCATTTAAGATGATATCTATATTTAGGCCCTGTTTGGTTGGGCTTTTGTCTTTGGCTTTTGGCACTAAAAAGCCAAAAAACCGATATTTATGTCCAAAGAAGGAATAATTTGGAGGATCTTTTTGAAGCACATCGCTAACTTTGCCTAGCCAGTTCATTTTTGAAATTTGGTTTGACCACTTTTTGGCTTTTAACTTTACCTTTTTGAAATTGGTGGAATAAAAAAAGCTCTTCCATAGTTGTTTCAAGAGAGATAAAGATAAAAGATATATTTTATACTTGTTTAACCAAACAACTTTTCACTTTTCTATGACTACTTTAGCTGACTTTTTCCACACTCCACATTACAATCTTAGCTTTTCTCCCACGACCACAAATTTCAACCAAACAGGGCCTTAAAGTCGTCGATTTGACATATTGAAGATTTGTAGATTATGTCACTAATTCACTATTGACCGATATTATATGTGATGCCCTGTCCTCGGACATCTTTATACTATGAATC